TTTAGATAAGGAAAACTGGTCCTGTTCTGTGCTTGAATGGTCAGACCTCCCGGTCAGCTAGAGGGGTGTTTGGTGACTCAGACAGGTACCATCCTGAACAAGCTCAAAACAAAATACTTAGGTTAAAGCAAGACCAGGTCTGTTAATTTACAGCTGCTTGTCAAACGTTTCTAAGGGTTTGACCACTGCACCACCCATCCCCAATTCCCAACTACAGTACCATCCTCACATTCTACCTAAATTAGAATTAAAAACAACAAACTCGGCAATATCAAGCTTAATGCTTCATTCACCAGACAGTTTGTTCTCTTAATATTACTAGTCAGTCCATAGGGGATATTACTCATTATATACATTGTACTCAGCTCTGTTGTTCACTGTAGGAATGATTGCAATATTGGTTAAAGGGGAATTTTCTTTGCTTTTGTGGATCCTTTTTTATTCCAACTACAGACTTCATTTGTGACACAAACTCGATGCTTAGTGTACAGCTGTTAACAGTTTAAGCTGCCCGATGATGTTCAGTAAAGTTGTGTAGACAAAGTTTCTATGTGCAGAGAATTTAACTGACTGAGGGACTTACCCTAGCTGTGCTTATCCATCGGTGTCTTACAAACTCTGGACAGTGGGAAAAGTAAATTATTTATAAAAAACAGTTATTTTCAGTTCTTGCAGTTGCCAGATGAGGCTGTGAAAACCGGGATCCCATGCTCTCTGTTCTGATGGTCCCAGGCTATGGAAAAACATCTGAGCATCTCACTCTTATACTCCAGCTTGTTTAATTTACATTTGTATCTGTCTCTTTTGTTCGATCAAACAAAAATAATATGTTATGCGTCATAAAATGACATACCATGAAAGATGCTATAATGGTTAGATTATGGTTATTGTTAAAGATCGTAATTCCCTTAGAAGAACGTGCTGTGATATAACAAGGTAAAATATCCATAATATCTAATAAAGCACAGAGTGGAATGGTAACACGTGATACCAAGCATGTGAAACTGTGGCAAAGTAAATGGTACGACTGGAAAAAAAAAAGCACAAATACAGTAAACACTCATAAGTGTAAAGTTTATATTAAAGTCCCCAATACTGCCAGACTTCATTCCAGCACCAGCTTCCTGAGGGAAAGGAAATGGGATTAACCCAAATATCTTCCTAGTGTTGTGCAGCCAGGGATACAGAAAAGTGAAAGGTTAAAAGCTGAAGGGACTTCAGGCTGAAATAATTAAAACATATCAAACATAAGAAAGGTTTCCATTCTACCTGCTGAAGCTATTCCAAAAGCAAACATTACAACTCATGCAAAAGTTATATAAAATGTAAAATTATATTCTGTGGCCAGGGTTTAAAAGTGTGCTAGGATCAGTGTTAGTTGTGGGTTTTATGTCGTCATCATAATGTCTGAGGGACTGAACTTATCCTCATGTCATTAACTCAATAGCAGCATGCAGTCCACTTCTTTACTGCCACAACATGGCAGGACAGCAGCCAGTGACTGGAATGCCTCTGCTAACAGAGAAGAGTGCACTTCATGATCAGGTTCTACAGTATGTGTTGAACCAGCATCCTCAAGTCTGCTGCATATTCAAAAACAGCAAATTCTCACTCTTTTGTCACCTTTCTCATTTCAACCTCAGAAATTTGTGTCCAAAATCTCAGCTATTACAATAACGTCCATTCACCACAGACCACTGCTCACATGTAGCATTAGTAGAAATGTCTTATTTTCAAGACTAGCAATTATTTTAAGAAACAGTATATATTGCCATAAGCACTACACTTTTCTATGTGTGATAGAGAAAGCAGAAAGAGTAATGTAATTGTAAAACCAAGATGTGCAAAGGAGAGTTAATTCAATCCAATAGGTTTTATGAAGGTCTCGCACTAACAGGGAATTGAAACAGGTCCAAGACATTTAAAAGGCATGTGTTATTAAATGCACATTGAATTCATATCTAATCTATTCTCTATATGTGGAGTAAATGTAAGGTTTCCATCAAACAGCACATAAGGGATATGACTTTCAATAATGAAACAATCCCTGCTAATAGAGAAGCTACATATTATATAATTTATTTTGCAAATAGATCACTAACTTATAAGGATTTTCCAGTTTAACAGAAAATACAGATGTTGGTCAAATATAAAATAATTTAAAATCCCTTAGAAGCACAATAATATTTAGGAAATGCTTATAACGTATTTGGACATCCTGGATCTTTCAAATTTTGTTAAACCTGAAATAAATAAATGCTCTTCGTTCACACAGCTGTAACCCTTCCTTAAGAAAGAAATTACCCACCTTTTCATTTTAAATGACTGAGAGGAAGCTACTGTAAAACGAAATAACACAGCACAGGCCACAACAACTGCCAGTTCTGAAAACTATATCTGTTCACCTGATGCGTGGAGCCCAGTAAGATGGAGCGATGTCACAGTATCACCCACACTCCAAGTCATCCCAGCGCAAAGAGGTATGAATGAGACTGAGGACTGACTTTCTTCACACCCCTTCCCAACCTAGCTGTCAGGGACTGTGTGTGGGGAAATACAAACTAGTCAGCGGAGCTCTGGGACTCAGCTACTAAAACTTCACAATTCTAAGGAACTATAAAACAACATCCTTTCAAACAGCAACAGTGAACACCTTTGCAAAAAGCTGCAAAAAAGGAGACTGCATGAGTTGAGTGAGGTTACTTTGGCAGGAGAGCGGATGTAGAAAATAACCCACTTTTAACTGAATATGGTAAACAGAGATCACACGATAAAGGGCAGAGTGAATGTAATAGGGCTGTGAGTTACTGCGCATTGCCTGTGCTCACCACAACATCTGATAACAGCAATGGAAAAAGTTCTGGTTTCCTTTAGCATATAATTGGTTATCTTAATGCAATCTACAGTTCTGTTGCTTTTCTTCACAGAATGAAAAAAAAAACACTGTAGTTCAGTTATTCTGACAGTGTCAAATATAAATCATTACAGTAAAGGAAGCAGGCATGTTTATTTCTGTCTCTTTTTTGTTTTTAAGTTTTTTTGTCTTTTGTTTCAGGAGATACAAAAATCTTCCAAAAGCTGTGTAAAGTTTCACGTCTAAGAAAAAGAACAATTAAAAATCCACAATACTTATTTCCTAATAATGCCTTGCTGTTTGGTTCCCATATGGAGAAAATATTTAATAAGTGACCTTTATTGAGTTGGGCACGGTCTTGTGTCCACATTGTCACAGATCTCTTTTTAGTTTTTTTCTATCAATTAGTATTTTGTTTACATTTCAGCATTGTGAGAGATAAACAGCCACAAAACAAAAGTCAAGGTGCAACGTAAACAGCTCACATCTTAACTGACTTAAAATATAGAAAGGGATGCTTCCTAATGTTTATTTTAAAACTTTAAAGTTTTGTACAGAATTTTTTAATAGAAATGCATTGCAGTATCAGGCTAAATAACAGATCATACTTGGCTCCAAAACAGGATGAGTTTTGTGGCCATGCTTTGTTAACAACCGTCCATTTGATAAATGATTCAGGACATGAGGTTCAGAATATCAATAAGATCTCTATTGTAATTTAAAAAAGAAATCCTTTACAATACTGTACTATTTAAACAAGGTCCAAAAGCAGGGAACAGAGAGATGGATAAAATAAATGCTGGTCTGTGTTCTACAGAGCAGTTAAATAGAGAGCCAATTCAAAGGAAAAGCGCTGCTTAACCCCCTCAGTTTTTCATTTCTTTGCATTAATTCTCCATATAACTACAAATTGGAAAAACAATACAAAGTAAACATGATTCATAGTCAACCCCCCAAAAAAACCTTAATTGCCAACATGTTTAATCTGTTTTGGACATAAGCCCGACCATTGAGATAGCATTTGATACAAGAGTGTTCTTTAAGAGTAGAGTAAACTTTACACAAATGTGAATTACCATTGTGCACACATTTTCACTGTAGGTTCCTATTATTAATTTCTAGGTACTGTATTCCAGCTATTTACAGAGTGTTGTTACTCAGTATTCGGTTGGGTACCTCTTTACCATTACAACAGACACTGAACTCATGCCGCATCTTTCAGCTGTGGCAGACTACTGAAGACACTATAAAACCAAAACAAATATATTAAAAGGCTGTCTGATGATTGTTTGATTTATCAAATACTAAAACTGTCATCAGTTGTCAAAAGCAAGTTCTCAAACAACTACTTAAACCCACAAACAGAACTGTGTTTCTATATATCCAAGAGGGAAAGGGAACATTGTTTTAAAAAATAAACTGGTAGATCTGCTGTACATGTAAACTAAATGTCATCAAGTGTGGACCAGATTAATCTCCTATCTCCCCCAGTGACCCCAACAGAAGGGAGGAGGAAGACGAAAGATGATGAATGCTTCTATAAAATGGACATGAGTAAGCAGCTCATGTGCACCAAACAAAACAAAAAAAAACACCCAAATGTGAGAAACGCAGATGAGACCGGACGCGCTCATCTGAAAGCCATTCATAAAAAATGGTTCCTCGTTCCACCAGGGCTTTCACCAACACACTCAGTTTGTTTTCTGAAAGAAAGCCAGAGCATTCTGACAGACGTGTTTATAGATAATGCAGATAACACAAAAACACCAAGTAACCAGACAAGGGTGGTGGGATTTCCAGGTTCTATATGATGTCACTAATGTTGGTTTATGTGGGTAAAACACAGCAAAAAATACAGTGAGGGGGCGAGCTTCCTCTTTTGCTTCTAATTTAATATTAAAAGAATCTCAAGGGACTGAGCTGAGGTCCTGAAGGAAAGCTTAGGGAGTGTCAGGCATGTTGTAAGTCTACAAGAAATCAGAGCTGCGCTGGCGATGTGGCCACAGGTTTCGGACACTTCACATTTGAAGTGATGCCCAAATCACAACTACAGAACCGCTGTTCAGGCACAGAGGCACAGCACTGGACCCCTGTGGCAGTGGGGCTCCTTGCTTTAGGAGGCAGGGGAACTTAACTACATTCTCACCCCGGCAGCGGGCAGTCTTTTCCCGTCAGGGTTGGGGCACATTGGCAGCGCGCTGTGAAGAAGCCTAACACCGCGCTCACCTGCGCCGTATCTGGTCTGTGGAGAAAGAGAAAAAGAGAAAGAGGGGGGACTTCAGTCTCAATGACATCAGGTATTGGAAATAAAACTCCTGGCATTGCGAAGCTGTGACCCTTGGCCACAAACTATTTGAAAAAAAAACAGCACAAACTCTCAGAACTATGCAGTGTTCTTGGAAAACAGTGAGGCAGGCCTGATGAGGTTTTCTCTATCAAAATGATTTTAAATGGCAAAGGTTTATACACCATAGGTCCACAAGTTTTACCAAGCGATACTGTACATTTTCATATCTAATTAATTACACAAAATACCATGGACCACATAAAAAAATCAAGGTGTGATGTCTTTAGCCCAAGAGAACAGAGACACTTTGACAACATTTAACTTCATGAAAACCTGTTCCCACTGTCAATAAATGGCAGTTTCTTCTATTATCGCTGCTGTGCGCCCAGTCATCAGTGTGCGGTACCATCTGATTCAAGTTGTTTGTTTTGGAAAACACAAGCTGTTAGGAGTGCAGCTAGGGAAGCTGATGAGTGACAGACTAAAGATCTCATGCTACAGTCCTGCGCCAGAGAGAGAAGCTGAAGTATCGTTACAGACCAACAGATGAGGTCGCCTTCAGTCCATTGAAAAGATTCAGTTAGCTTCTCTCCACATGACAGCCTTATTCCTACATCTCCTCCTATTCTACACATAACATTTTGTTTCACATACAGTGCTATACAGCTTTTGCTTAGTCAAACCTCTTTTATTTCAGGTAGAGATTAGGTTCCCCATATTACACACAAAGGCCAAATACGAACCTTCACCTGTTCTTCCTACAGGTCCTTCCAGTATTAGGCCTTGATTATGTTGACAAACATATTCATGTGCATTATTTACATTTTTCCAGTTATTTTTGCCACATCCACCTGATTTGGAATAGCTAGCTGTGTGTTTTTTACATCTCAGTTTGGCTGCAAAGGATCCCATGATTGCACACAGGTGAGCCACCTCTGACATTCTCTAACATTCTCTGACATTCTCTAACCTGTCACAGACCACACAGCTGTATATATCCCATAATCAGCTCTGAGGTGAGGACAATAACCCCATGCCAACTAATAATAAATAATAATAAACTTTATTTTAAATAGTGCCTTTAACAGTAACTTCTCAAAACACTTTATAGTAAGAAATATAGATGAGGAGATAACAACATAGGAACAATTACAAACAAGGGTTTAGAATGTAGTAAAAGATGCAAATGGACAGATAGAAGCATTAATTAAATTAAAGCCTTTCTGATGAAAACAGTTTTGAGTCTGGATCTAAAAGCATTAAGGTAAGGTGATATCCGTGGGAATAGAAAGAATTCCAGAGTTTTAGGGCACAGCAACAGTATTATTTAGATGAGCTTGGGGGAAAATAGGAGACCAGACTTAGACAAATGAATGTTGTGAGGTGAAGAGAGGAAGATAATATGTCAGATAAGTACCAAGGTGCAAGCCTTGTAGAGCCTTATTGGTGAGCATGAGGACTTTGAAGTCGACACAAAACCTGATAGGAAGCCAGTGCAAGGACTCCAGGACAGGAGTAATGTGATCACTTGCATGGGACCTGGTCAGGATTCTGGCTGCTGAAAATGGACATACTGAAGTTTGTTCAATGTGGATTTAGATATCTCAGTGAGTAAGGAGTTGCAGTAATCAATTCTAGAGGGGTCAAACCTGTGTTGACCAGGTTTTCAGCAACCAGACAACATAAGGTGAAATGGAAGAATGATGCACATTTGTGGGGCAAATGCCAAGCCAGATCAAATATCACCTACAAGTTCTTTACATAGTTTATGAGAGGTGCCAAGAAGCATGACTTCAGTCTTGTCACAGTTTAAACGATGGAAAGTTTGAGTCATCCAGGTTTTTATGTCAGAAATGCAATTAGAAAGTGCAGAGAGAGGCACTTCAGTGTCAGGTTTAGAATGGACGTAGATTTAAGTATCACTTGTTTAGAAATCATAATTCAGACCATGTGACAGCTGACCATGTTGGAACATGTAAATGTTGAATAGAAGGGGGCCCAGTATTGAGTTCTTAGGAACGTAATGAACCCAGGTTCAGAACTGTAACCCAACATATCAGCTATCAGTAAGGAAACATTTAAGATCAATGTCAGAAACAGTATCAAGATGAGAAATTAAGATGTCATGGTTATCAGTGTCAAAATCAGTGCTCAAACAATTGTGCACCACCATTTGGGAGATTCTTCCTGCCAGTCACACACTTACTGTAAATTAAAGTAAATTAAGATTAACAGCAAGAAATGCTTTGTGACTCTTCTGGAAAATGCAACTGCAGTGCTGGTCACAACAAGATTTCGACTAGATGTACAGTAAGCACAAAGAAGCAGAAACTGAGTTTAGGAAAGGAACTGAGCAGTGCAGAGATTTCAGTTTGTTTCAGTATGATATTTGTTTTTCATCCTGAATTTAAATTATTGACATATTGAATCTAATGAAAAACAAACTGGTTCAGGCTCACTTTTATTGCCCCACTAGGTGTACTTATTAAGCTACAGTTTTCTCACTTCTCACACTGCCTAGACAATCCCGCTTATACAGACTGTCTGGGGAACCAGAAGTGGGTTTTGTGTGCATGCAAACATGCCCGTTTCAAACAAATGGAAAAGGAAACGTAAAATATACCTCCATGATCTTGATTTGATATGACAAATGCATAGTGCAGTGCATTTCAAGCCCTCAGATACTGTACCATTACTCTGCCAAATAGTTCAAATAAGGACATTTCTCCTGGATCATGCCATTTCACATCCTTTAATGCTCAAACAAAATTGCCATGATCAAAAGCTCTGAAATCCAAAGGTGTCAGTGACAACAAAATAAATAAGGAAAGAAAAATGCCAAAGGACTAAGAAGTGAACGGCCATATAAACAGACATCAGCACAATATGCAGACTAAGCTACAAACTGTAAATGCCGAATGAGAGCCAATGATGAATTAGCCCAGCACAAGATAATGTAAACAAGCTCACTGTAGCACTATATTTAATAGGCCTCTGCACTTAACGCTGGCATGGAGCAGATGTCTTTGCCAGCAGGACTCCCCTGGGAGGCATGCAGTCTGCGAGCTGGCTGGTCATTTACCATGCGCCCTGTCATTGCCATCTCATTCTTTCCAGGCTGAAACAAAAACAGCTCCATCATCTCTTATCTGAACAATTACCGCATCTATTAAAATATGCAACCACCTCCCATTACTGTGAAACAGAAACCTAGCCTGTTCCTTTCTTCACAGATTTCTTGTGCTCTGTCAACAGAAAATGACACTTAGAAAATAGCAGAAAGCTAGGGCATTTGTAATAGAGGAATGAGCTTCAAGTAAAGTAGGTTTCATTGGTGTTTGATCAAAAATATGAAGAAAATACAATCTGCAATAGTACACTTTAATCCTTACCACAGGACAGGATTTTCTAATGTGGCTAGACCGACACCATTATCTAGACTAAATAGTGCTGAAAGTACATAGAGACAGATGACACAGGAACCAGAAATATACTTTATAATAGTAGTATAATCATATCAGTCTAGTAGTAGACATAAAAAATGGAAAACTATTTTATAAAAAAATGTCTGCGTTTGTTGACTTGAAATTTCTACATGCAAGACAGAATTGGAACCATCTCTTTAGATGGTTTTTACCTCTTTCAGCATTTTTAAAGTGAGCTAATTACAGTAACATCCATTTTCCATAACTCATAGTAACTGCATGTTCTTATAACATAAGTCTGAAAGGTGGACCTTGTTAAACTTTAATTTCAAATTAATACTGTTGTCCCAGTTAATATTTCTTACACCCTATAATAACAATAATAAAATACAATTCAGTTGAGTAGGAATTTTAAGAATGAAACACCCCTTTTAACATTAAACCCCTCACCATCGATGTTTATCACATGTTATGATTTTAAAAATATTTTGCCTTTTATTTACACATATCACCACAAAATTGTGCAGGTTATATAATTGTGCCTTCTAAAACGCAGCTATGAAGTGACTGAAAAAAAAAGATGCGAAGAGCATTTTGAATACTTTAATACTTAATAGTCAATGTGCTAAAACTTGTAATTCAGGCAGAAATTCTCCAAAAGAACCAGCCATTTAAAAAAATGTCAAGGCAGCAGAGCTCAAAATAACTTACTCCTTCAAATAATACTCGCCTTCCAAAAATGTAAGTTCACCTACTGTTCTCCGCTTCCTTCATGTGACTGAATCTTGTCTTGTCTTGTGTGAATCTTTGATCTGTGCTCCATTTTTCACATCCCTATTTTAACCTTTTCTTGAAAGCACACTTATTCAGAGTGCTTCAGGCCAAGCTAATTTAATCAAAAACTGAATCCATTGAAGTTTCCAATACTATAGACCTTCTCATACACCAGTATTTTAATATTAAAAATTACCTTTTGTAAATATTACAGACAGACTCCTCTGACCTAGCTACCCATGAAGACATTCATCTTTTGACATGCTGCAAACTCAATAGCATCTAACAGGTGGATCAGTTTCAAATGGAGAATGCTGCTTCAGGAATCCAGGTCACATTACCTCCAGTTTTTCCAGGAGTAGGGAAATCTTGTAATAAGTAGAGACCAGTCAATGCTGCTGGCCATTGGAAAGCAATGTCTAGGGTGAGAATACTATGAGCTTATGCCATTAATACATCTCCAATTTTCTGTTCAAGTAATGATGTCAGCCAAAAATGCCACCATTGAAAGACTGAGACAATACCTGTCATAATCGTAATCCCTCCTCTTAAAGGGGCTCCGGCCCTTTCGTATTTTTGTTGATTACGTGCACCTGCCGCTATTCCTGGCTCAGCATTGGGAGATGGACACCCGGAAGCCCGCCTACCAGCTGGTCCAGGAGAGACCTGACGGCGTAGGCTTCATCACGGCGTCCTGAACATCTGAGTCCAGGGCTCAGAGTGCTTTGCCTCGTTACCCTGGTTTTTATTCCCTGT